TGTCAAATTAATTAATTAACCCATACTAACAAAGAAAATGTACACTTATGGTCAATACATTTGATAATATAGTTAATACAATTCGACCCTTCATTCATATTTTGAGGTTCTATCGTTTTCTATCTTTAATTTTTTGTAAGATGAAATTTTGATTAGTAGATTAACGAAGATCATTAATTCTATCAAATGATAGTTATTAACACAAAAAATGACTTACATTCATTTAAAATTTCCCTGTTTACATGTAAAACAAAAATAATGAAGCCAACAATAATTTTAGTTGGTAAAAGTGAGGACCATAAGCGTTATCTTGTAAAAAAAAAAAATATGTTCGAAATAAAGGAATTAAAATGATTGCAATATCAAAATGTAATATTCGAAATCATCATTTCCCTAGCTTTTAAATAATTGTTTCAATTAGCATAATTGAATAAATTGCGCAGTAGATCCAATCAACTCCAACAATCCAATTGATTGATACAACCAAATTTTTTGGATGTACAACTCAATTACACATGCGGTCCAATTGGTAGGTTATTCAATATATGTACTTCATGACATAATTAAACTTTAATTTTCCTCTAATTAAAAGTAATAAATAATGAAAATGATAAGTGTATTATTATAACAAGTAAAATTTTCGTCACATTTTTATTAAAAGAAGGGAAAAATGTGACTCACTTTAGCTGTGAGTCTTTTTTTTTTTTTTTTAATTAAAAAAATTCTATTATAGTGACTATTCCTTTGCAATGAAAATAATATTCTCAAGACCCTATAATATTAACTAAATTTTTATTCAATATACAAAATTCTCTTATATATAATTTATCTATTTTTAATAAATATTTGTGTGTGTATAATGTGTGTTGTATTGTTAATTCTTGGTCATTTTTTTCAAACTTCATCCCTATGACCAGTTAAGCTGTTCATGCAGGCCTTTAATCTCTTTCATTCTTTGTATTATTGTATAATAATCTTATTTTCTCTATTCTCATTTTATGAATCAAATTTTATTTTATGTTAGATTATGATCTTTAACACGATATGAAAAATAAATTAAAAGGTTGACTTGACTTGTTGGAGTACATTTTACTCCACAAATAATATATTATATATATATGATAATATTAAGCGAAAAAGACTGCTGTAGTCCTGTGGTCCCGTCGTGGCTTGCCGAAAAGTATCGGCTCGAGAAGAAGACCGACTGGTTTATCGCCCTTGCTCTAGACTCTAGTTCCCTGTCTGGATCAAATTAGGGCTCCGGGGAAGAGATCGAAGAATTATTGAAGATACGAAATCCATACTCTTACTGACGTCTGTATTTGAATAATTCAGGAATGGATCAGATATTGAACAAGGTGGGTTCATACTGGATTGGCAAGAGAGCGAACAAGGAGATCAATTCTGTCGGCGATGACATCAATGTAAGCTACTTCTTGTTTTGCTCCGTTACTTCGGTCTCTTAGTGTTTACTTTCTTTAATTTGCTTTTTCTGAAAGTCAATTTTGCTTAATTAGGTTTTCTTGTTGGAGTTTTAGTTCTGGGGATCTCTTGATTGTGATGATGAATTACTAGTTATTTTTTCTGTTAAATTAGCATGATTTTCTATGAAAGTAACGATTTCGTGTTGTCGGTGAGTCGGTCATGGCTGATCTTAGCCTGATCAGCGACTTAGGCAGTCTGAGCCTTTTCTCTGTTTCACGTTTAGGTTTTGAGCTTATTATTATCTGAATAAAAGAATTTTCCATAAAGATTAGAATCTGTTGATTAATTTCAATTCCATGTTTTCATTAACTATTGGTAATCTGTTTCAATTGGCAATATGAGAAATTATTTGCTGCATACTTTGAACTATAGAAGTACTGCATTACAATTGGGATGGTGTGAGGTCAGGGTATCAAAACACACACAGCTAGTAATGTGTAAAACCGAATGCAATGTTTCGGAATTCTGATTTGAACAATTAGTATATTCAGAATGAACAGTGGTTCATCTATAGTAGTTTTGCAGTTCTGCTATGCTTTGAAGGATATTACAATTGGAAAAACAGTTGTGCATGCTGTATCTTAGTGGGAAGTACTTCTAGAAAATATAACCTTTTCAGCTGCTTTAAATATTTTAATTTTTAAAAAGTATAATCCCAATGTTTCCATGCTGATGAAGGGTTTCTTAGTTGTGAATTTAGTTCTCTTTCAATCATAAACTAACATCCAAATCATTTCGCTAGATTACATATTTTCCCGTAAATTAGCAAAATGGTCCCTCGACTATGTTGATTCCCCTAATTTGGTCCTCATCTTTTAAACTTGTCCGATTAAGTCCTTTGACTATCCAATCTTTACCCATTTTGATCCTCCTGTGCAATTGCGCATCCAACCTCCAGCGAATGTAAGGGTAATGAAGAAATTTCCAAGCATTTTTTTAGCTTCTTCAATTCTTCCCCAATCTTTTTAGCCATAGACCTAAGCTTTCCATCTTCCATGAACTTCACTATCTTGTCCTCAATCTCTTCACGCTTTACCAATCTCTCATCTCAAATCCACCCCCAGTTCTTCCCCCACACTGCTAGCCACGGCTTCTCGCCATCTCTGCATTCACCCTCTGGTCTCCAAGCACTGGCTAAACCCAGAAACACCACCCCCAGCCGCGTGGCCTCCATCGCAGAGTTCCAATGTTCCATCCACAGTGGAACGCAAATCCCTGATCGCCACATGCGCTACGTTCACCCACCCTTTGACAACCAGCCATCTATTCTTGCATTTCTCCATGAAAGAATCGCCGACCAGTTCTTTCACCTCTGTATGATCATCTTCATCCACCTTCGCTAATTTTATTACCTATAAAAACCTCGATTTGCTTCTTAGAAGCCCTTCTTCTATTTCCCGCATTTGCTCTGTTGACATGGCTATTCTGTTTGGAAGCTCATGTAGACGACTGAATCGGGGGGCTGGGTGTTTAGCCATGGGAGATACTTGTGGGTTTTTTTTTTTTTTTATTGTTTTGTAGGGCTTGAAAGGCCCAATTGGAAAAATAGGAGGGAGATTGCCTATGGATTTCCCAGAATTTAGTGCTGTAATTGTTTCTGGATCGAAAGAATTGAAGATATTCAACAGAATAACTTTGACGTTTGGCAATGATCGTAAGTCTGATAAAACCAGTCTTCTGAATAGATGATTTGGGTTGTATAACAATGGAGGAATTCTGGACCAAATAGAGGTGTTCCAATAATGGGGTTGTATAACAGAGGAGGATGCCATGCGAAATAGTGGTGTTCCAATTATATCTCTCAAAATATGCTGTCTCAGGCATAAGAGGATCGAAATGAGTAAAGATTTGATAGTCAAATGACTTAATTGTACAAATTTAAAACAAGAGGAACAAATTGGTGAAATCAAATATAGTCAAGGGACCATTTTGGTAATTTTTTCCATATATTTCACTGTATTTCCATTTATGCTCCTTATGAACTTGAAGAGTTGAAGATGCCTGATTGGATGTTACTATGTTAGTGTACAGAATGTTTTCCTTTTCTGATTATATTTTTTCTTTCCATCATTTTGAATTTCACTCTTTTCCCTTTTGTTTACATAGTCACTGTCAACCAGTATTGAAGGAGGAGCAAAATGGTTGGTTAACAAAATTAAAGGTTTGTACATTTTTTAAATAATTTGCTACACTCGTTGGTCTGCTTTCATATTCATTTCTCATTTATCATTTTATTTTGATATCTATGAGTTTCATTGATTTTATCCTGTCTTCATACAGCTTGTAAAAAAAAAGAATTTTTATATTACTCCATATTGAGAAGTTATGACTTTCCATTAGCATATTGGTGATGCTCCAAAGTGTTTCCTTTGCAGGTAAGATGCAGAAACCGTTGACAGAACTGCTAAAGGAGTATGATTTGCCTGTCGGTATTTTTCCTAGTGATGCCACGAATTACGAGTTTAACGAAGAGACGAGAAAGATCACTGTCTTCATACCATCCATTTGCGAAGTGGGTTACAAGGATTCATCTGTTTTGCGCTTTGCTACCACCGTGACTGGATATCTTGAGAAAGGAAAGCTAGCTGACATTGAGGGAATGAAAACAAAGGTGATGATTTGGGTGAAAGTGACTGCCATTTCCTCTGAAAAATCGAAGCTCCACTTCTCGGCTGGGATGAAGAAAACCAGGAACAGAGATGCTTATGAGGTTATCAGAAGTGGAGTCAATGTGGATAAGTTTTAGAGTGGTCAAATGAATGTAATGCTGTTAGAGTGGGCAAATGAATATAATGCTGTAATGCCTTCGTAAGGGCTCTCACTATTTGTGCTACCTTGTCTATCTATGCTTTATTTTCAACTCTTGAAATCACGATTTCAAATGATTATGGAAATATGAATGGTGTATTCATCTTTTCTTCTTCTTGTAGCCCGAGTGCGGTAGAATATTTATCTGTAGCAGACTCAAATCATACTCTAGAATCATGGAGGAAAACACAAAACAATCTGCACCAGCCGGGAATCGAACCCGGGTCTGTACTGTGGCAGGGTACTATTCTACCACTAGACCACTGGTGCTTTGTGATTATATGAATGGTGTATTCATCTATTTCTTTCTTCTAGCCCGTGTGCAGTAGAATTCCTATTCGTAGCAGACTCAAAAAAAAAAAAAAACTGCACCAGCCGGGAATCGAACCCGGGTCTGTACCGTGGCAGGGTACTATTCTAGTACTAGACCACTGGTGCTGTTTTATTATAGACTTCTTCTACTTTATATAAATTTTATGTTTATAATAGCAGCCCACAAACATCACATAAGAGGAATTTGGAAGACACCGGATATGGGCTTGACCAATGATGTTGACAAAATTCAAACATATGACCTTCGTATACAAGCATGGTTGAAAAATCGTTACGCACTCATCAGATGCCTGTTTTTTTGAAAAAATTTGTTTAAATTTTTTTTTTTTTTTAATTTTTAAGACTTGATAATTTTTTTTTTAGAAGGATAAGACTTGATAATTATAAACTATTTAATACTAAAATATTAAATATTCACCTCTAAAACATCTAGAGTTTGAACAATTTAGAGTTATTTCATTTAAAACGATATCGTTTTGAGTGAAATCGTTTATATATATATATATATATATATATATATATATATATATATATATATAAAGTAAGAAAACACTAGCTAATCGGTCGCGTAGACCTATGATGATATGCTAGGCGCAAACTGTCCACTTTGGTTCAAACTCACAACCTACCATATGAAAGTCCAACTCGAGTACCATTAGACCACATAGTCTTGATAAATGATGTACTTAATTACATGCATCTATTTATTAAAAAAAAAAAACTTAATAAATAGATGCATATAATTAAGTACATCATATTACCAATGACCTTGTGGAAGTAGTAATCGAACAATCGATCAAATATTCATGTATTACTAAGAAGACATATTGGCCCTGTTTGGTAAAAAATTGGCCTATAGGCCAATATTGGCCTATTTGACAACTATTAATTGTTTGATTTAGTTAAAATATCACTAGCCAAACCCGATTCCTTCTTCCGGGTCCCATCCGTGTTCAACTTGACCCCATCCATCTTCAAGAGGAGACCAGCCAACCCATCGTACCCCGCTTTTATTGAACTGGTTTTGGAAAACACTCAAAAGAGTAGCCGCTCTTTGGATAACTTCCCGTGGTTCCCTCCACTTTTGCCTGAAAACCAGTCATTCCTAACTTTCCATAGCTCCCAAAGAATACACATGAACGTAGTAGGCCACTATGACTGTATGATGAGGCATTACCCCTTTCCCTGCACAACAGTTTGTTTGGATCCAATTTGTGACCGATCCTAGGTAGAGCTGTCAAAACGGGCCAGCCTGGCCCATATGGGTTGGCCCGTCACGGGTTCAACTAGAAACGGGACGGGACGGGCCGACCCGTTTTTTCACGGGTTGAGATTTTCCCAACCCAACCCGTGTAGGACGGGCTGACGGGCTAAACGGGCCAGCCCGTCAGCCCGTTTATTATTATTATTTTTTTAATTTACGTGATTAAAATATTTATTGTCGTATTGCTTAAAATTTGAAGCCATAGCCTCTAAGTTAGTAACCAAGACTATTTCCAATCAACCACATTAACCATGGTTAACAAATATGTATACACATATAACATATACACATGACATATACACATATAAAAGTAGATTTTAGTTTTTAATATGTAATTATAAATTATTTAATTTATATTTAATACTAATATATTTTACATGTAATATTTTTTATTTGTAATTATAATATATAGTATTAAGTTATAAAGTTTATAAATATATAATTTATTACTTTATGTAGTTTATATAATAAATAAATTTTAAATTAATATTTATATAATGATACAATTAATTGTATTAATTAATATAGATATATATTTAGTATTGCTTGTGAATGATGTAAATAGATATATAATTACATTAAAATGTTTAACATGTGTTCTTAGTGTAGTTGGTTTCAATAGTAATAATTTAATAATAACTGAAATAAAAATAAAAGATCAAGGGTTCAAGTCTTGTTAGCAATAATATTTTTAAACATTAATAAAATACCCAATTATACAACACATTTGGAAGTGGGGTGGGTGGGGATACGGGTTATACGGGTCGGCCCGTGTAACCCACGGGCCAACCCGTATAACCCGTATCCTCCACGGGTTGAAAACGGGACGGGCTGGAAATCCTCCAACCTAACCCGTGTAAAATACGAGTTAAACGGGCCCAACCCGACGGGTTGGGCCCGTTTTGACAGCTCTAATCCTAGGTTGTTCCTGCGAAAGTCCACTGACACCTTACACCTCCGCCAACAAATTGCTGAGCTCGGCTCAGTTCGTTTACATCCCTACTTGCATATTGTTTTAACCGGACCCGATCCAATATGTCTCACGAATAAGGATACCCTTATAAAATACTCTTTTAAAACAATAATTATTCTCAATAAAGAATAAAAATATGATAATTAGGTAAGTGGGTCATGGGTGAGTCATTTTCCTCTCATTACTGATTACTCATAGGACAAAGACAAAAACAAGGTTCCACGTAGTGTGAAACCACCCTAAAAAGAATGATACCCTTCCGCGATGACAGCGACGCATGCCGGACTTTTCGCAATACACGACATATCTTTTGGATCAGGGCACGAGGCTGCCACACGCCTTCCTGTTAACCATTTCCACGTGTCACTCCCTCATCGGTGAACATGAACCCCACTCTCGTCAACCGCCTTCGTCTTCCCCGCTATATAATTCATCCATTTTTGCCCACTCTGCTCATCCCTAATCTCCATTGTAATTGCCTGTTAGTAACAGCAAATCTTTGTGTTTTTGTACTAGTAGAAAGATGTTTGTGAAGGGATTTTCTGGCGTTTCTTTGTGCAAACCTTCTGGTGCTCTGCTTCGGGCGGGCTTGGGTTTGGGTTCTTCCGTCTCCCCTGTCTCGAATCTTGCTTTTCCGGCGGGGCGGAAAGTCGGGTTTTCCATCTCGGCTGTTTCTGAGACCGCTGATGCTCCCCTCACCGGGGTTGTGTTTCAGCCTTTCCAGGAGGTCAAGAATGATGCTTTCATGGTGCCCATAACCCCTCAGGCCTCGCTTGCGCGCCAGAAGTACTGCGATGAGTGCGAAGCCGCAATCAATGAGCAGATCAAGTCAGTTTTCTACCCATCTTCTTGTGTTTTTTCTTCAGTAATTTATTCTCTTCACTCTCCATGTATAATTTCATTTCAGTAACAGCGTCACCGTGCCCTATTCAATTGGTTCATTTTTTATGCTCTTATGGCTTATTTGATTAGAATTTAAGAAGCGCTGTGATTTAACATTCAATTGGTACGGTGTTTGATTTTGCAGTGTTGAATACAGTGCTTCTTATGCGTACCACTCCATGTATGCATACTTTGATAGAGACAATGTTGCCCTCAAAGGACTGGCCAAGTAACTATCAAATCTTTCATTTTTTTTTCTGTGTATATATCCTTAGCTTGTATGAAGTGGTAATAAGCTGATCTGATCTGATCTGTGATGTTGTGGGGTGCAGGTTTTTCAAGGAGTCAAGTGAAGAAGAAAGGGAACATGCTGAAAAGCTAATGGAATATCAGGTTAGCTAAGTTATTGTCTAATCTTAATGCCGCCATGCATGTCAGATTGATTTTTTGGTTCCTTATAGATATCAATTAATTGTGGTTTTAATTTAATGGATAACACAATCAACAGAACACCCGAGGTGGAAAAGTGAAGCTGCACTCTATTATTTCACCTGTTTCGGAATTTGAACATGTTGAGAAGGGTGATGCATTGTATGGTAAGTCCATTTCCATGAATAGAAATTGTTAGTTTTTGAGTAATAATAATAATAGTGTTTTTTGTTATGTGTTATGAACATAAATTGAGTTTTGTTTGTGACTTTCTGGTGGGCAGCTATGGAACTAGCACTGTCATTGGAGAAGTTAGTGAATGAGAAACTACTCAACCTCCATGCTGTAAGTGTGATTATACTCTAATTTCATCCAATTACTGTTATGATTAAAGAAATTGGGTGTGATTGTTCTAAATTCATTACAGGTGGCTGAGCGAAACAATGATGCTGCGATGACAGATTTTGTTGAGGGCGAGTTTCTGGAGGAGCAGGTATCCAAAGTTGCTGATCATAAAGCTAGGAACAAAAATTACAAATGACTTCAATTTAATTTGTTTGTCTTACTCTGATCTGTTTCCAGGTTGAAGCTATTAAGAAGATTTCAGAGTATGTTACACAGCTAAGAAGGGTTGGAAAAGGACATGGTAAACTTTATATATACTTTTCTGCTACTTATCTCATTAATGATTGACCCTATATATTTATCAAATTGTTTGTTTGTGAACTTGTAGGAGTTTGGCACTTTGATCAGATGCTCCTCCATTAAGATGGCAACAAGTCTAGTCAGGGCTGTTAGATTTCTGGGCATGAAGTGATAATTGATGTCTGAAGATGCAATACTATATCAGTATCAGATGAGTAGTAGCTAGCTTGAGCTTTACTTGCTAATGTGTTTTGATCTTAGAAACTTCAATGCTCTGCTATTTTGTTTCATCAGTAAATAATATTCATCAAGTGTGGGATGAATTGTTGTAGTGTAGCTACTAGCTAGGCTAGTTAGTTGTCAACTTGTAATGGCTTGCTCTGCATATAACAATATCACTTCAAAATTCCTTTATATTCACATCTATCTCATTGTGAGATACTGAGATAAAGGTCTCTAATGTATGAGAATGTCACTTGCAGACATTAGTCAAATCCAGATGAATAACATCAGTTGAGTAACTAAGGATGTTCTGTTCTATTCAATAATCATACAATGAGAATCTCTGGCCAAAGTATAATGAAGCTGGACTTCATGTTAAAAATATTAAATCAGATTTATGGGTTTGACCATGATCTTTACCTAGTTTGGAACAAGTATTGTATAGAATGAATGTTGCATGATATTTGAAACGGAAAGGTTCATTATATTATATAAATATATTTCATTGTAAACTAGGTAGTCATGACATACTACTAGGTGTCACTTATGACTTACGAGTTATTTAATAATAAATTATAAAATATTACTCGTTGCTAGTTTGACTATGAACATAGAAAGTAACACTTAATGGTTTGTGATGATGCTGAAAACTTTAAAAGAAATTGATAAAAAGTTATCGATATTGAATTAAGACATTAATACTTGATTAGTGAATTAATTCAATATTGGGTAGTTTTGAACTTTTAAAGGCTAGCACCTTTGGGCCCAAATTACGCTTTACAAATAGTTCCCATTTCTTAAAGTAAATGAAGTGAGAAAGAGAGATTTCAGTCAAAAAATAATTTTCACGTAAAATCTCTGGGAAGCCGACTGGTGGACGGATAGAGGCCGTACAATTGGACAGTTTTGGATTTGCATCTGCCAAAGCATGCTTTAAGGGTAAAATATTCTAACTCCATCTTTTAAAGTATAATCTTTTTGATGCTGCACGTGTATGACTTTTCTAACACGAACCCCCTCTCATATGAAAAAATTAATCTAGTCTACTATGCCAATCATTATGCTACGGACCCGTGCTGGACACGGTAACGGTGCCGTTAGGCACTGTTCTCTTCCAGTTTTTTTTTATTTATTTTTTTATTTTTTTTTGTTTTTATTTTTTATTTTTATTTTTATTTTTTAATTTCATACCACTTTGTTATAGGAGTATATGTTCATAATTTTATCACTATATGTTCATAATTGTAAGTTCATAATTGCATAACTCTACATTCATAATTGCATAATTGTACATTCATAATTCCGTAACTGTACATTCATAATTCAATAACTGTAAATTCATAATTTTCGAACCTCTATGTTCACAATTTTAGAGCTCTATGTTCATAATTTTACGACTATATGTTCATAATTGTAAGTTCATAATGTCAGAGCTTTGTGTTCATAATTTCATAACTTACATTCATAATTCCATAGCTGAGCAAATTACACTTTTGGTCCTGTAACTGTTGTGGTCTTGTTAATTTGAGTACTCGACTTTAAAAATTAACAATTTAGTCCCATAACTATGCAATTTTTAACACATTTGATCCATCTGGCCAAATCACCTGCCAAATGTGGCCGGAAAAATTTAAACCATTTTTAATTATTTAATGAGAGGGCAAATCGGTAATTTCAAATTCCTTTCTTTTTCTTCATTCACCTGCTGGCCGGTAATTTCAAATCCCTTAGCTTAATTCTAGATGAGCTCCTCTAGCTTCCATCATCGCCTCCCCTAGAGTAGCGGTCACCTTCGCCGTAGCCACCACCGTCATAACCACCATCCCTGTGGCCATAACCACCGCCGCCTCCACCGTAACCACCGTCCCTCCGGTCGTAGCCACCACCACTTCCATCCTCACGACGTGCACCACCGCCGCTTCCGCGAGACTAAGACTTGTTAACTGTTATGTTACGCCCATCAAGGGACTCGCCGTTCATCCCCTCGATAGCATCCTTCATTGCTTGCTCATCCTTGAAGGTAACGAAGCCAAAACCTTTAGATCTCCCAGTTTCATGATCGTTGATGATCTGATCCACCATAGAATTCAACAACAAAGTCAGAACCATCCAAATCTACAAGCTAAAAATACAATATAATAACAACAAACTCGAATACATATATACGTATAACTCACTGGATCGTGTTTGCCGGTGATTTTGGACTCCGGTTGTCGTTGACTCGGGGTCGCCGGCGTCGAGCAGCGGCGGAATGGCTCCGAGGCGTAACTGGCGGAGCCGCTCTTCTCCAGCACCTACTCAAAGTTCTCAGCGATTTGGACTCGTGGGTTTGGCGTTCTCGGCAAAAAAATTTGCAAATATTACTAGTTCTGCTCTTGGCAAGCCGGACATCTCCGTGTCAAGAAAAAAAAAAAAAAGATCTCTCCTCCTTCATGCGTCGCTGGCTCCCGGCTGCCGCTGCTTCATCTCCGTGTTGCTGGTTTTGGGTCGACGACGGGAAGCTTTAGCGTTGCAGCGAGGTAGTCCGGCGGAGGCAGGCTTGGCTTCCGGCGAAACCGTCGTTGCTGCTTCCCCTCCCCCTTCAGGCAGCGAGGTAGTCAGAGTCGGAGTCGTCGCAAATGGTACACGAAGAAGAAGGAAGAAATTCAGCAAATAACTTTCCTTTTTTAAACGTAAAATGACCATTTTGCCCTCATGAATAAATAATTTAAAAAGTTTTACGTTTTTCCGGCGACGTTTGGCCGGAGTAGACCAAATGTGTTAAAAATTGCATAATTATGGGACTAAAGTGTTAATTTTTAAAATCGAGTACTCAAATTAACAAGACCCCAATAGTCACAGGACCAAAAGTGTAATTTGCTCTTCCATAATTGTACATTCATAATTTCATAACTATACTTTCATAATGCGACAAATGAATAACGTCGTTAACGCCGTTAATGACGAGACAAAATCGTTTTTTCTTTTAAACTTAAAAGCCACATTTTCTCTTAAAACGACGCCGTTTTGGACTCGTGTCCACAATGCATTGTGCACACGTGTCCATAGCATAATTTGCCATACTATGCTCCTTGAGTGGCCCAATTTTATAATAGTGATAAGATAAAAAAAAAAAAAAAAGTGGTGACATCTCCCTGACTTTATGAGTTAATTAGATAAAATCATTATTTTTAAATTTGCTTCTTTTGTGTGTGTATGTATTTAATAGTATTTTTAATATAATATCTAAATATATAAACTTTATATATTAATACTAAATTTAATATTATGAAATATTGAATTAAAAATAAAGTCACTCAAATCTCGTTAACTAAATTAAACATATAAAATAAAATGGAAGAATGATTATTGTTATTATTATAGTATACATTTGTAATACATATACAAAATTTATTAATTAAAGGCAACTTAGAATTAAACAAAAATATATATATTAGAAGGTCTCTTTGGATAATACTAGGGGTCTTTAAAAATGATCATTCACCTTATAAAAGAAATCGTTTGATTATTTAAAATAAAAATTCAAAACAAACAACGCATTTCAATCTATTTTCTCGAATTTTATTTCATTTCTAAATTATTTAAAGTTTTATCCTACCCAAAATAATAAAGAAATGTTAGCAGCAAGTAAAAAGAAGTTAATTTGTCAATAAAATTGAATAATAAATATGATAAATAAAATAAGATAGAAAATAACTCTCCGTCAAACTATATATCCTAAAGTCCATTAAATATGATAAATAAAATAATGTTTGCCAGTAATATTTAATTATTGTTCTCAATGAAATGAAAAAAATATCATAGTTAGGTGAGCGGGTCAATTAGACAGTCTAGAACAGCCTAGTCACATGACGAATACGACAGAAACAAACGAGTGGTGATTCGTCAAATAGAAAAAGTAGGTCCTACGTAGTGTGAAAACATCCTTAAAAAGAATGATTCCATTCCATTTTCCGATGACGCATTCCGGACTTATCGCAATCCACGACATATCTTTTGGATCAGGGCACGAGGCTGCCACACGCCTTCCTGTTAACCATTTCCACGTGTCACTCCCTCATCGGTGAACACAAACCCCATTCTCATCAACCGCCTTCGTCTTCCCCGCTATATAATTCACCCATTTTTGCCCACTCTGCTCAACCCTTATCTCCACTCTCATTTCCTGTTAGTAACTGTAAATCTTTGTGCTTTTGTACTTAAAAAGATGTTTGTGAAGGGATTTTCTGGCGTTTCTTTGTACAAACCCTCTGGTGCCCTGCTTCCGGCGGGGTTGGGTTTGGGTTCTTCGGTCTCTCCGGTCTCGAATCTTGCTTTTCCGGCGGGACGGAAAGTTGGGTTTTCGATCTCGGCTGTTTCTGAGACTGCTGATGCTCCCCTCACTGGGGTTGTGTTTCAGCCGTTTCAGGAGGTCAAGAATGATGCTTTCATGGTGCCCATAACCCCTCAGGTCTCGCTTGCTCGCCAAAAGTACTCCGATGAGTGCGAAGCCGCAATCAATGAGCAGATCAAGTCAGTTCTCTACCTATCTTCTCGTTTTTTTCTTCAGTAATTTAATTATCTTCACTCTCCATGTATAATTTCATATCAGTATCGTAATCAATTGGTTCATCTTTTATGCTCTTATGGCTTATTTGATTAGAATTTAAGAAGCGCTGTGAGTGAATCAATTAGTTGAACTGTGGTATTTGATTTTGCAGTGTTGAATATAGCGCCTCATATGCGTACCACTCCATGTATGCATACTTTGATAGAGACAATGTTGCCCTCAAAGGGCTGGCCAAGTAACTATCAATTCTTTAAACTTTGCAGATTTCTTTCATTTTGCTGTGTATCCTTAGCTTGTATGTAGTGGTAATAAGCTGATCTAATCTGTGATGTTGTGCGGTGCAGGTTTTTCAAGGAGTCAAGTGAAGAAGAAAGGGATCATGCTGAAAAGCTAATGAAATATCAGGTATTATTATATTGTCTGATCTATCTAGTGCGCCATAATACATGTCAGAATGAATTTCTGGTTCCTTAAAGATATCAACTTTAATTTAATGGATAACACAACGTACAGAACATCCGAGGTGGAAAAGTGAAGCTGCACTCTATTATTTCACCTCTTTCGGAATTTGAACACCCTGAGAAGGGTGATGCATTGTATGGTAAGTTTATTTCTATGAATAGAAATTGTTGGTTTTTGAGTAATAATAATAATGTTTTCTTGTTAATTATGTGTTAATGAACATAAATTGACTTTCTGGTGGGCAGCTATGGAACTAGCACTGTCATTGGAGAAGTTAGTGAATGAGAAACTCCTCAACCTCCATGCTGTGAGTGCGATTATACTCTAATTTCATCCAATTACTGTATGTTATGGAGAAATTCTGATTAAAGAAATTGGTTGTGATTGTTCTAAATTCATTACAGGTGGCTGAGCGAAACAATGATGCTCAGATGACAGATTTTGTCGAGGGCGAGTTTCTAGAGGAGCAGGTATCCGAAGTTAGATGATCATAAGCAACAAAAATTACAAATGATTTCAATTTAATTTGTTTGTCTTACTCTGATCTGTTTCAAGGTCGAAGCTATTAAGAAGATTTCAGAGTATGTTACACAGCTAAGAAGGGTTGGAAATGGACATGGTAAACTTTATACATACTTTTTTTTGCTACTTATCTCATTAATGATTGATTTTATATTTACCAAATTATTTTTTGTGAACTTGTAGGAGTTTGGCACTTTGATCAGATGCTCCTCCATTAAGATGGCAATGGGGTGGCATGAAGTGCAACAAGTCTGGGCTGTTAGATTTCTGGGCATGAAGTGATAATTGATGTCTGAAGATGCAATATAATTTATGTTACTATATATCAGTAGTAGCTAGCTTGAGCTTTACTTGTCAATGTGTTTAGATCTTAGAAACTTCAATTCTGCTGTTTTGTTTCATCAGTAAAAAATATTCATCAAGTGTGGGATGAATTGTTGTAGTGTAGGTAGGCTAGTTAGTTGTCAACTTGTAATGGCCTTGCTCTGCATATAACAATATCAGTTCAAAAATCCTTTATATTCAAATCCCAATAATCACATCAACTACAATTTTAAGGTTTTCACTTCTATCTCATTGTGAGATATTGAGATAAAGGCCTCTAATAATTTAATCTACTTTTGTCGTTTACTTTAATAATTTTGTTCAATTTAGTCTTTTTTTACCAAATTTACTTTCTTTATGTTCATAAAATATGAGATTTTAAAGATAAATTATGAGCAAATATGTTTGAAGAAATTGGTGGGACATTAGTCAATTTTGTTGTTAACCTTTTTAAAATCAATGGCTTAATTGTTTTTTCCTAAAATAGTTCAATGACCTATTTGTATCTTTTCCTTTTTAAAAAAATTTATTAAAATTATTTCAAAATGCCAACTCAGTTATTATGTAAGCAGATAACCTGCTAAAATTGATGGTAACATATTCCGGTAAAATTGCATACATTAGAGTGTTCAATGACCTAATTGCACGTTTTTTGAGTGTTTAGTGACCTATTTACACTTTTTTTTTTCTTCAGTGACATAATTATATTTTCAGGTTATGTTCAGTGGTCAATTTAAACTTTATTTAGAGTAATATTTAATTATTGTTCTCAATGAAATGAAAAAATATCATAGTTAGGTGAGCTGGTCAATTAGACAGTCTAGACTCTAGAACAGCCTACTCACATGACGGATACACAGAAACAAAAGAGTGGTGATTTGTCAAAGAGTTATACTACATAGGTTCTCAAATCATACTTCCTAAATTAGTTCTTGATGTGACAGGTGTTAAGGCTATTTTTTTCATATGAATCCCAATACAAATGTATTTTGTGTTTGGAAGTAAAAATTGAAAGTAGAAAATGTGGGTAAATCCGTAAATGTAGTATTTTCCTTCGTCAAATACAAAAAGTAGGTCCCACGTAGTGTGAAAACATCCTTAAAAAAAAAAATGATTCCCTTCCCTTCCCCATTCCGGACTTATCGCAATCCACGACATATCTTTTGGATCAGGGCACGAGGCTGCCACACGCCTTCCTGTTAACCATTTCCACGTGTCACTACCTCATCGGTGAACACAAATCCCACTCTCATCAATCGCCTTCGTCTTCCCCGCTATATAATCCACCCATTTTTGCCCACTCTGCTCAACCCTCATCTCCACTCTCATTTCCTGTTAGTAACTGTAAATCTTTGTGTTTTTGTACTAAAAAGATGTTTGTGAAGGGATTTTCTGGCGTTTCTTTGTACAAACCCTCTGGGGCCCTGATTCCGGCGGGGTTGGGTTTGGGTTCTTCGGTCTCTCCGGTCTCGAATCTTGCTTTTCCGGCGGGTCGGAAAGTTGTGTTTTCAATCTCCGCTGTTTCTGAGACTGCGGATGCTCCCCTCACAGGGGTTGTGTTTCAGCCGTTTCAGGAGGTCAAGAATGATGCTTTCATGGTGCCCATATCCCCTCAGGTCTCGATTGCGCGCCAAAAGTACTCCGATGAGTGTGAAGCCGCAATTAATGAGCAGATCAAGTCAGTTTTCTACCTATCTTCTTGTGTTTTTTCTTCAGTAATTTTATTCTCTTCACTCTCTAGATGTATAATTTCATTTCAGTATCAGCATCGCCACGCCCTGCCTGATCAATTTGGTCCATTTTTTATGCTCCTATGGCTTATTTGATTTGAATTTAAGAAGCACTGTGATTATATCTTTGTCTGCCTTTTGAAACATTCAATTCAAGCAATGAAAAACAAGTATATTGGTGGTTAAAGACTGAGAACTGAATTAATTAGTTGCCCAAGGAATTGAACTAAGTTGAATTTTGGTGTTTGATTTTGCAGTGTTGAATACAGCGCCTCTTATGCGTACCACTCCATGTATGCATACTTTGATAGAGACAATGTTGCCCTCAAAGGGCTGGCCAAGTAACTATCAAATCTTTAAACTTTGCAGATGTTCTTTCATTTTTCTGTGTATCCTTAGCTTGTATTGTATGTGGTGGTAATAAACTGATGTTGTGGGGTGCAGGTTTTTCAAGGAGTCAAGTGAAGAAGAAAGGGAACATGCTGAAAAGCTAATGAAATATCAGGTATTATTATATTGTCTGATCTAGTGCCGCCATACATGTCAGAATGATTTTTGGTTCCTTAAACACATCAACTAATTGTGGTTTTAATTTAATGGATAACTCAATCAACAGAACATCCGAGGTGGAAAAGTGAAGCTGCACTCTATTCTTTCACCTCTTTCGGAATTTGAACATGCTGAGAAGGGTGATGCGTTGTATGGTAAGTTCATTTCTATGAATACTTGAATAGAAATGGTTGGTATTTGAGGAATGATGTTTTGTTGTTATATCTTATGAATATAAACTGACTTTTGTTTGAAATTGTTTATGGCTTTCTGGTGCAGCTATGGAACTAGCACTGTCGTTGGAGAAGTTAGTGAATGAGAAACTCCTCAACCTCCATGCTGTGAGTGTGATTATACTCTAATTTCATCCAATTACTGTCATGGAGAAATTCTGATTAAAGAAATTGGGTGGGATTGTTCTTAATTGATAACAGGTGGCTGAGCGAAACAATGATCCTCAGATGACAGATTTCATTGAGAGCGAGTTTCTGGAGGAGCAGGTATACAAAGTTGCTGATCATAAAGGAACAAAAATATAATCTCTCTAACGTACTTTGAAAATGTTTAACTTAATTTGCTTCTCTTACTGTGTTGCCAGGTTGAAGCTATTAAGAAGATTTCGGAATATGTTACACAATTAAGAAGGGTTGGACAAGGACATGGTAAACTTCATACTTTTCTGCTACTAATCTCATTAATGATTGACCCTATATTTATCAAACTATTTAATTTAATTTGTTTGTGAACTTTTAGGAGTTTGGCACTTTGATCAGATGCTCCTTCATGAAGATGGCAATGGTGTGGCATGAAGTGATTAATGTCTGAAGATGCAATAAAATAATCAGATCAGAAGTAGCTTAACTTGTCAGTGTGTTTTGATTATCTTAGGAACTTCTGTTTTGTTTCATCAGTAAATAACATTCATCCTAGTTTATGAACTTTTCTCTGCATATAACAAATTAAATTTCTTCTATATTCAAATAATGCTTCCTTCTCTTACAAATCCCAATACATAAATCTTTAAGTACAAGATTTCGTCATCTCAAGTACTCATGAAAATCTCCAGTAATCAGGACAAAAGTTGGCAAAAAAAACCTCAGCTTCCAAACACATTTTCATTTTCTCAAGCCATACATTAAGCTCTCTGTGAGCTACACTGGTGTGAAGACTTAATCATCTCCCACATAACTTGTATATCTGAGTATCCAGAGAAGGCCTCCATATCCCTGCAAAGGGCTGCTAAGCCGCCATGCCTATTCTCTGAAAGTAACAGCATTACAAGAATATAATTGCTTACTAGAGAAGAAACCACAATCTAAAAGATTTCAAGAGAGATGTATGATTGTCTTACCTCGGGCTCGTGTTCTGAGATGAGACTTAACAGCAACAAATATTCTCTTCATTGGAACAAGAAATGCATTTCTGAAGCTGAAGCTGAAGCAGACGCGAATTTTCCTCCTCTCCATCACTATAACCTTCCTTTTGGTACACATCTTATTTATAGAGCTGTACGTTTCAGGGTGGACAAGAAACTCAGACAGTGAAACAACTATATATCCTCATACCAGAAAGAAAGGTACAGTACACAAGTATCAGCTGGATTGGCCAATGCCCTTGAAAGATTTTCTTGTCATTTAGTAACCATTGACGTTTGATTAAGCTAATCATTCATTAACACCGGAAAAGTTTTGGATTTTTGTTTGGAACATAGTGCGGGGGCAGATGTAAATTTGAAATAGAGAGAACTAACACAGAACAGGGAAGGGAGCTTATTAGTAAGAAATGGACAATTTTGAGAGTGGAGAAGATTTTTGGATTTTGCATATTAACTTATTCTTCTAACCAATATTCCTGAGTTTATTCTCTCAGGAAAATGGTGATGGGGCCCTGCTCAACCGGACAGTTGTCTTTTGTTTCAGTACCTATCCTGCTTCTTTGAATCAATTGGCTCCTTTGGAATTTGGATGGGAGAGGAGTTTGACTGAATTAATATACTTAATTACTTAATTTTAGTTTTTGAATATTACTTTAATTTCATATTTAGTTGTAATTTTTTAAAGATGATCACATTTAGTAGGACTGTATTGTTGTCTTCACACTGTATTCTAATGGTGCTTTATATTTTGAATGCAAGAAAGACAAATGTGGATAAAATAGTGCTCTTTTATATTATAAACAATTTCCTTAGCTGTGTAACTTCCTAAGTTCCTATGTCTTAGATTCTTGTCTTTTTTTACATCCAAGTAGAAACCCCCATTAATGGAGTTCCTCTCCATTCTAAGATCATCTCATGCTGCTTCTGTTCTTCGATTCTGACTTTATATGCAGTCTCTCTTTCACTCACCAGTACTTTGGCTTGGATTAAATTCTCCATGCTTAGTTTCCTGCCTTGTAACCCTGTTTCTGCCATAAGATTGGAAGTTCCCTTAATCTTGCTCTCTTGCCAGTCTTGAAACCAGGAGGTAGAGCAGATGAAAGGTGAAAAGAAATGACTTTCCAAGGCGATTCTTGCTTCTGCGAGATTGACTGGGAAATAGGATTCCATTGATTCGATCAGGGATTTATAGTGTATGAATTGATTGTTAAAGGAAGAAGTGTAACCGGGAGAGGAATCACCATTGCCCCGGGGTTCTCCATCTGCAAAAACAACGATTCCTGATGGGATTGCTGAAGAGGATAACAATTCTTTAGCTATCTTCAAGAACTCCATGGCTTGACTTCTTGGTTGCTTCTTAGTCATGTGTGGCAGTCTGAACATACAGTTGAAGGCTAACCATTGTTGTTTTCCAGTGCTTCGTTTCGTTTCAGTGACTAATTCCTCAATGGTCATCTCCTCGACCTGCAATTTTTGGCCGCATTGCCTTGCATGATCATAAAGTCTTCTTCGTGTATTCTCGAATCTCCAGCGACTACTGGTTGCAATTGACCCTTGTTCTGTTTTTATGGATATGAGTTTCAAAGATATTGGTCTCGGACCCATGGCTTCGATCAGTGGAGGCCATTGGATTCCTTCTCCCATGTCAAAGTCTACTATGGTAACTCTTTCTGCAGAAGATGGTAATGCTTCAAGGATGGCTGAGTTAGCAGCAAAGTGAGCAAATCTCCCATACGGGAGAATTTGGTAAAAGGCCATGAATGCTGCTTCGAAATTGTTGCTTGATTCTTTCTGGAGATCTTCCGAGGGATGGAACAAGTTGAAAGCAACACGTTCGATTGGTTCTCCCAACGGGTTCACTTTTCCAGTTACGCACTTCACAATCACCTCCGCTAGCTCCTTGTGCCCATCTTCTATGGCTTCTGCATAAGCCTCTAGCAAGTGATGAAGGCTCGTTAGGCCGTCTACTTCCATCCCGGTCCCTGGAACCATTGAAGCCTCACTCGATACCACTGAGAGGCTAGGACTCCACATATCCCCCTTTGGCTGGTCACTGTTATTTAACCATTGCCAGAAATCCTCAAACTCTCTGGACTCTAAATGATCCATGGCAGTATCGTTTTGCAAACTCGTGAGTTCAGTAAACGCATCTGGGAATAAGGCTTCAAAACTCGAGTACAAGGAACTATCAGAGGAGTCGGTTGTGGTGACAGTGGAAGAGTGAGTATAGTTTTCTCTCGGATAGGTTTCGTCGTATAAACCACAGAAAAGGGAAGTTGAGAACTGAACATTATGTCCTGCAAATGATTGCATCATCCTGCTTTAGACTATGTTTAGTTCTGCTTCCTATGTTGTGTGCCTCTCTGTCTATCTGGTTAACTGTATTTGTATGCTAAGGGGAAACTGTGTAGTGAAATTGATGTTTTCTTTAGTATTATTAACCATTTTGTGATAATCAATGTGGACAAGAATTTCTGAGTTCAGAGTTTTATTTTTTTGAAGTTCCATGGAGAACCCTCTTTGTTATGTCTTCTTGAATGTGATATATAATATACTATATTGCATGTCACATCAATAAATGATTAGAAAATTATCTAATCAATTTAGTTTCTTCATTCCTATCAACAACCGGCTGATCTTAATGGTTTTTTATTTTTGGTATTATTGTTATTTTCTTGGGGGGATGGGGATTGGGGAAGGGTATTTTATGCTGTTACTTTCAATAATATGGCTTAAATGTCACAGCAATTTGACTGCAAACTCAATTTGCCTGGAAACAGTGCAAGTTCTTCAGATGACTAAATCACAGATGGGGTTATAGAATTTGAATTATGTTGCGTCGAAGTTGGCCAGGTGAGGGCTAAGTCCAACAACTGATATCAGAGTCAGGGCACGTGTTATAGTAAAAACATGTGCAAAAAAGGGAAATTGTTGAGCAAAGGCTAATGAAAAGTTTTATTAGGAACTATAACGCTATAACTTTTGACGTAGTTATAAGTGCCTGATCCTAACAAATTATAAAAACAAGACTACTTCAGACTTTGATCTCTTAGTGACTGAGTGTGACTCCATATAATTAATTATCTTTCATTTTCTCTAAGGTAATAAAGTATTGAATAGTTAGAGTAATAGAAACAATGGACTTTACTCCCATTGGTGCAATTAAGTCAGGAGTCTTCGTCCCTTGTATGTTTCTTTCCTATCAAGAAATCAAGAAATAGAATGGCAATTTACAAGCTATCTTTTGTGATGCCTTTTGAGCACTGAATTGTCGCTATTGCTCCTCTTGGATTATTCTTCGAAAGGCTGAACTCCAACCCTAAGGGTCTCCACACTCCGATCCGACAGAGCATTTAAGAGGATGTAAATCATGGTAACTCAACTGAACATGAACTACAGAAGTTAGACCTTTGCTCACTGTGAGACTCAATCCCTGGTCATTCACTCCTCTTGGATTATTGGATCAACGGAGGGATGCTCTTAATTTAAATAAGTACTAGCTGCTAGATTATTATAATACTAATAAGGCTAGTATGTTTTAACATTATGAATAATATTATTGAATAGGCATAGGCAGCATAAATGGGTAAAGTTAATATATACGAACTGCAGGGTTAATATTTACTACGTTAAATGTCATAATAAAATATTCAATGATCTAATAACGTAATTGTGCATGATTTATATTGTTAGTACTATTCTTTTAAGTATGGTTGAAGATAACGCTAAAACATATGAAAGCTCTAAAATATGCATCAAGACCGAATGTCAAGAAATTATCTATAAAAATAAAATATAACATTATAGTCTTTATACGATTTTGTAAAGTAATATAATTCTTATATTACCCTTGAAGTTATTTATGTAAAGAGTCTCAGTTAATCACTTTGATTATTGAATATCATACTCACTATATCACTGTTTAAACCATATTTACATGCTGATCATAATCTGAAGAAGCTTGCTAATGGTTCCTTCAGGCTTCAGAATATAATAATTAAAATGAAATTAAATACTACAGCATGTTAAATTAAGGACCATATACATATACTAGTATACTACATAATCAAATTAATTTACAGCTGATAAAGGCCATGTATATATTTGAATTCATATATGATCCTGAGGTTTCCTGGTGCCCCATTGCGGCGGCTTCAGTCTAGGAGAAGCGGCCGCGGCCACGACGGAGTTCCTGACGCCGCCGCACGGCTTCGGCTTCATCCGCCACGGCAGGAAAATGTCGAGCCCACACGCCTTGCTACAGGAAGAGTATTCGTAGCCTTGCCCCGCGCTGAGGGCTCGAGCGAAGCACGAGCCAGACCGATGATGATGATGATCGCTCGCCGCGTACGCCGCCGTCTCGTTAACATCGCAGCCGTTAATCAAGGACTCCGCTGCCAGCGCCTTCGCATCCTTCAGAAACCTCAGAAAAATCAAATCCGGCTCGAAATTCCCTCCCGCCGCCAAACACATTGTTCTGTCGCCACCAACGTTGTTGCCGTTGTTGTTGTCGCCGTCGCCGGCATTATTGTCGGAAGACGACGACGATTCGCCTAACGAGAACACATCCAACGCGTCCGAGTACCGTAGCTCTCTGTTCCCGCCGTCCTCGACGTCGCCGTCATAATTATCGCAATGCCGTCGCTGCTCGCAGCAATCGCAGTCGCTCCTCGATCCGCCATAGTTTCTCGGGTACCATCTCCCCGGCGGCGGCTTGGGGAGCGGGACATCATCGCTGCTGGCCTGATCATCGGTTTCTTTGGGCTTCCCGGGAATCTGCTCCCAAGAAAACGGTATCCGATTATTGACATCCACCGCAAGCGGCGCCGGATTATCGCCGGAGCCGGCCGGAAGGATTAGCCCGCGCTTTCTGGGCGTGGGCGGACGCCTGGTGGATAGCAACGGCGCACTGAAATCCAGTTTTCTGGAGCATCTTCCTGGGGAATCCTCCGAATCCATGAATATAATACTAACCAACTGCATTGCTGGGCTAGAACCGGGTACAAATCAAAATGATTTTTTGGAGCGATGATTATGTAATTAAGGTGGGTAGTTCAGCGTTGCAGAAACCAATATGCATGAATGAATTATATAAAGCGTGGAACCAACACAGCTGGAGGCTATGGGGATCTCGTGGGCATCAACTAAAAGGGCAAACTTTTTGAGGTCACAGGTTGCACTTTTTGGGATGAGATAACTATTTGGTGCCGCATGTCCCCCACACACGCCATCACTGGAACTAGAGGACAGTACGATCTACTACTTTTCCATGGAAACTGGGAATTCAAGTTAATTGGCTTAGATGGAACATTCTAGTGCTCAACAAATCAAGATTCTTGTGTAAAAGAGGAAACTCAAAGGTAATATATAAAAAGAAAATATTCACCCTGCACACAAAAGTACAAGGATTTGAACTCATGACCTAGTGACTACAAGTGTTGATCTCTTGTCATCTTGAGTACTGGTATTACCTCATCACATTTCTTTACTTGGTTTAAGGGAATACTGTAACAAGGCGTTTGGTTGGAGAGGGGGAATTATGTGGGAAAGGAATTGTAATTCCATAAGAGATAAATTACTAGGAATAAAGTGAGAATTTAAATTTCAGTGTTTGATTTACATGAATAGAATTACTGGGAATTTCAATTTCAATATTTGGTATACATGGAAATTGAAAGGAAATAAGTAGTATAAAGTTAAAAATGTCCATTATTGTTGTTAGACATTAATTTTAGGTTAAAAAAGAAATAGGTTATTTTGACTCATCAGTCATCACTATCTTTTTTCTTCCTAAAATCCTAAGGAGACATGAGATTTTAATTCCATAAAAATAGGGAAAGGGGAGATTACAATTCCTTTCAACCAAACAGGAAAAATTTGTGGCCTTTGGAATTAGGTGGAAATTATTTTTGTTGGTAAAGACCTATCATTTGTAATGTTTTATCTCCCAATTAAAACTTATCTAATATATTCATCGTTTTTCAAACAAAAAAAAAAAATCATTTTCTTCGGATGTAGTGGTGCACTAATGTATAGGCCTGATGTGGCATACCAATTTACCCAGATGCCCTAACCGAAGACCATATTACCATAATTAACCCCAACAACATAATGGCGGCTAGGTTCAGGAAAGGATTTCTAGCTTCCATACAGACTATTTTCTCACCTCTCACTCGCTTCCACTCCTCCCTTGCAGCGGCTGCGCCACCACCTGTTTCTCCTCTGCTTCCGCCAGCTTGTTGCACTCTCCTCTGTGTGAGGCTTAGCTACGACCACCAATCCCAACTCTAACTCCTCAAATCGTGCGATTTCGAGCAATGGCTTGTTTTGATGGATAAGTCAGGTGAACACGATAACTACATCGAAACCCTGACTTAGGTTGTTGGAAGGTTCGTTCTTTAATTTCACTTTTGTATTCGTAGTTTTCATTTCTCCCGGCTCTTCTTTTCTCATAATATCATTCTTTTTGTTGCTCTATTATGATTTTTGAAGTGTTCAACTTGCCAATCTTAACTATTTGTAAAACTGGGTACAATGTTATGATATATTTATGTAATTAAGCATATATTTGCTTTGAATTGTAATAATAACAATTGTTCTTGTAGCTAGGAAGAGGCTAGGATGAAGGTCTATTCTGTCTCAACTAGAGACTATTTGTGTTTGGTCCTCTTGTTTCAGAGGAATTTTCTCTTACAAGTTAGAAAATAGGGAAGTTGTTACTCAGCTTATTGATCTTAAAGTTTAAAAATAAGAACTATTAAGGTATGGAGTTCCATGGTTTAGAATTTTTAGATGCCGTATTTGGGAATACTGTTAGTGTTTTACGAACTCATTATTGATTACTATTTACTAATACTGTTCTAACCTACTTACTGCATCGAGGTGCAATTGATTATGAGAAAGAAGAACCTTGTTGTCTTTCACTCAACTGATTAAACATTTACACACTGTTGAGTCTTCTTTCTCATAATCAGTTGCACCTTAGATGTCATAAGTCTTATGAAGAAAAATCTCTAGCCCTATGATTTTGTTAAAGTTCATGGCTATTATTTTAGCTTGTTCCAAAATGTATTGATGTGAAACTACATTTATATCCTTTTCTTCGAATGCCTAAAAAGTCTTTGATTTGGAAATTTAGAAATTTTAATGGGGTAGATAATTAAATGAAAAAGGACTAAGAAAAAGAGATGAAGGAAAAATCCCTAGCTCTCTCTGTTTTCTAGTAAATCTGTGCCAATGATTTAATTCCCTTCTTACCTCAAAGGAGCACTCAGCAGCTGGATTTTTTTGTCCAGGTGAATTTGTTAATTTATTGCCCTTTGAGGTTTTGGGAAGCAAGACACGGATACTATGGAAAAGGAAGGAAAATTGGGGACTCTTTGTATTGGGTAAATGATATTCTGCAGACTTTCTGTTTCTCTAAAGTTTCATTGGAGGTTTTCCTGCAGAAACTGTTGTTCTTTATCCCAAATAATGAGTTTTTCCACTTCTGCAACTGAAACTCTTGAATCTGAGTCCCCAGAGTTGATATACTCTGAATTGCAACACAAAATGCAGGGGTATGCTGTGTCAGGATGTATCGAGAAAGCAGTTGAGGTATTGTATGCAATGAGGTGTGTGTCTGGAAAGCCAACTGTTCATGATTATAATTCATTGCTTTATTGCCATATGAAGTCCAAAGTTGTGATGATACATGAGTTAGGAGAGATATATTTGGGGATGAAGAGGCTTGGGCCATCCCCTAATGCGATAACATTTAATACTATGTTGAATGGGATGGTTTCATTAGGGAGGCTGAGGGATGGGATTCTGATAGCCAAGGAGATGGTGGAAAGTGGTTTCTCACCATCATTTACTGCTTTGTCAAAATTGTTGAAGAAATCATTTAGTTTGGGGAGCTTGGAGGATACTTTAAGTTTATTTGTGTTTATGTTGAGGCTGGGATATGTTCCAACTGAACCAAGTTTGAGGAAGTTAATTCTTGCTCTTTGTAAAGTTGGAAGGGTTCCTGAAGCATATCAAGTTCTCTCTGTTCTTATAAGCAAGGATTGTTTTCAAGGTGTGCACTGCTTTAATCCTCTACTGTGGGCATTGTGCAAGTCCAATTATTGCAATAATGCATTAGCCTTTCTCTGTTTTTTGAAAAAGAAAGGTTTTGAATGTGATGTTTCCTCGTATACTGCTTTAGTTTATGGGTTTGGTAGGAAAAAGGCATGGAATGAAGTGTTTCATTGTTTAGATGAAATGGAAGCTAATGGGTGTGAGCCTAATGTGATAACATACACTATAGTTATTAAGTTTCTTTCTGATGATGGGGAAGTTGATGAGTCATTAAACCTATTGAAGAAGATGGAAAATAAGGGATGTAGCCCTGATTTGGTTACATATAATGTCATTCTCCGGGCACTTTGTCGTCAGGGTAGGTTTGTTGAGCTTGGTGAGCTTGCCCAAGTTATTGATCAAAAGGGACTTACACCTGACCAGTATACTTATGCTGCTCTAGCAGAAGGCTTGTTGAAAAGTGGAAGACCAAGTATTGCTGAAAGGCTCATTCATCAAATTATTTCAAGTTGCTGCTTCGTGGATGTTGTGATTTATAATATATACTTCAATATTCTGTGTAGTGATAATAGAACAAAAGAAGCACTGTCTACATTGGAAAGCATGATGGAAATAGGATTTAAACCAACTACAGTCTCCTACAACACTATCTTGAAAGGAATATGCAAAGAGAAATGCGTTCGTGAAGCTATGAAATTTTTTAACCAGATCATCTGGCCCACAAGTAAGCCCGATTTGATTTCCTTCAATATACTGTTGTCTGCTGCATGTAAACAAGGAGATTCATCAATAATACAAAGGATCCTATACAGAATGGAATATGAAGGTTTTCAACTTGACGATGTAAGTTCAACTTTGTTTTTGTATTTTTGCATGGTTTGAAAGACTGCAGCATGTTAGAACTTTTGGACTACATAATTGCTAATTGTTCTCAAATTAATATAGTGACGTGCAATGCTCTCATAAGCAGCCTTTGCAAGAACAGACTAGGTGGAGAAGCATTTACCTTATACAGATACTTTAGAAGTTCTGGGATTTCACCAGATGCCACAACATATAATATCCTTATGTGTGCTTCCATAAGACCATAAAAGAATGTATTCTGGCAGATCAGTTGTTAAGGGATATGCACCAGCAAAGATTGGGGCCTGATATTTTCATGTGTGGTTTGATTTATAGATTTTGTAAAGAAGGAAAGTTGACTTCTGACCTCCAGTTAAGGTATCATATGCTTGAGAATGGCATCAACCAGGATGATTATGTTAATGGTACCAAACTGAAGGCAACAACACTCAGGATCTGAAAGATTTCTGAAGTTAAATATATTGTTGAAAGTTGTGGCAATGGAGGGATGAAAGCTTTGAGATTTTGAAGAATGTAACAGTGGGTCAAATTATTGTAGCTATTGTTGTTTTGTCATTATCAAGGCATAAGCACCGATGCACTCCATTGTTTGGTTGGATTGTGGGTTATGCATTTGGAGGTGTAGCTATCTTTCCTCCTCTTTATTGGTGCTATCAGTACAGAAATCAGAGTTCTGAAGAAGATTCTTAGCAGCAATAGAATTCTTCCCCAAGTGGCCTTTCAACTGGACCTCCTTCGAGTTCCAATACTTCTTTGGATGGTGAAGGTCAAAGAACAACTGGCACATCCTCTAGATGGGGTCCGAATGGTTGATTACCAAATGCAAGGTATAATTGTTATCCTACAGATAATCATCTATTAGTCTGTTACGTGATTCTCCTACCCCTTTTTCCTTTTTCTCCCTGTCTGAACAAATTTCCGTAGCATATATTTCCTTGCGTTTGCTCTACATGATGCTTATATCATATTTTTCTTTACTGAAAACCTTTAGAAACAGAGGATGAGTTTATTTGTAGCCTCATTCATATTAAATAGTGAATGCATGACTTCATCTGGAGGTTGTCTGGTCGATTGAATACTTGTTTTGTCAAGAAATTTTTTTTAATGTGAAATTGTGAATTTTATGCTTTAGTACACTTGCTATTCATGGCTATTGAATATGTTTGGTGAATCTCTTTCTGTTCTAGGTTATGAAGAGCAGTTGACAAAAAAGCAGCTGACCTGGAGAATGAGAATTTGAAGAGGGTAGGTAGCACACATCCTATCTCAAAAATGAGTCGAACTATATTCTGGTTCCAGTTTATGTTCCCAGCTTTCACGCTTCTTTCTATTCCTCATATCTCAGTATTCACTATACTCATTTGTTTGGAATTTTTTTACTGTAATGAACAGCAAAAGGGGTTTGCAGCAAAAAGAGTATGATTGTTTGAAGAACACAAGAAATAGCTTAAATGCCCAGGTAACTGAGTCTAGCAGAAACAAGTAACAAGATGGTAGGAATTCAGATTTTCTCCCCATTCTTTTTCTCTAACACACTTAACTGCTGCATTTGCTAGATGGCTAGAGTAGTGAAGGAAGAGGTACAAGGTATATATTAAGTTTCTCTGTTTCCATTATGCTATTCAATGTAACCTGGGGCTGTGGTTGAGTGGAAGGGACTCATCTATCTTTAACCAAAGGTCAAGGGTTCAATCATTGACTTTGGGAATGGAGCAGCCTTAAATATCTAGGCTAGCTGTCCCACCCAAAAGAGATGCCTACAATTCAGCGAGGGGATTATTCACTGTGTCTGACGACTGACGGTGTATATACACAAAAAAAAAATTATGCTATTCAATGTAGACAGTGCTTTTTACCATTATAAGTACACAAAACATTGAGTATATATTATAAATTACATCTATAAAGCTAAATAATTTGATGAATGAGCCTTCACCATTGACCTGTGTTGCTCCATATTGTTTTCTTTATTTCTCGTTATTATGTTTGTATATTTAAATATCAAGATGTTGATAATAAGATTTGTGTTAGCTTTATTGAATGATGAAAATTTAAATGATCTATTCATAAATGAACATGCATAATATCTAGTTTGCTAAACCTTAAAATAATTTGTTTAACCTGGGAGCAAATCGAAATTTCAAATACGTGTACGGCCCTCATCTTTGAAGATTACCAAAGTCCAAAGTCGTATAAATATGAATATTAATGGACAATTTTCAATGGGAATATGGGATTTTTAGGATAATTAATTGTTGGAATATGCGTTACACAAATAAAAAAGAAAAAAGAAAAAAGAAGAAGAATAAATATAGGACAGGTGAGACGTAACATTCATAGGGCAACAAGAAAGTTCTTGAAAATGATGTTATAATACCATTGACTACGTGAACATATATTATTCAAATATATACTCTTTATCCACGTCACTATTCGCCAATAATCTTGTGATTTAGATAAAAAATAATTTAATTTTAAAATTTTATAAACAAAATGAATCAATAAATGATAAATAATGAGAGAGATTTTCATATTAAATTAGACAATAGTTTGATTTTAAATTAATTTATGAAGAGTTGAAACTAATCAATAATTAATTAATTAATTTAATAGAAAACAAAAAGGAAAATTTGCATGGGCCTCCTCCTATCAATCTGCGGACCAACGTAATACGCCAACCTAATTTACGCAAAATCGGCTTCCAATAATTTATTTATAATTATACATATTTTGACGGAGTATGTACCATACAATGTATATTATTGGGGAGTATTATATCATCATATCTATTCTTTCAATATATTTGTTTATAAAAAGATTCCATTTGATTTCTTATGTTATAGTTGTCTCTATCATTGTGATCAAGTTGTACTCTGATATTGAATGAATATATTTACACATATATGCTTATAAATTATAATTATTAATTTTTATTTTTAAAAAAAATGTTCATAAACATCTTTATATATAACCTAAATGTTATTACTTATTAGCATGTTCTCAATTCACTATTAAAAAAAAAATCCATCAGTTTATATATATCTTTATGTACATTTGAGTGAAGGGTGAAATTGAACTAACAATATTTTATCAACAGTTGAAAAATAAGGAGAAAATAGAAAAGATACGGTGACATTTTTATAATTATTAGGGTATATTAAGAAACTCTTGATAATACGTTTGCTGATAACTAATAGTACACGCACTAGCTTGAGTGCACTTTTATATATAGATCAATAGATCATGCGTGTACTGGAACTTGGAATTATTCAGGAATGAATTGAATGGTCAAGTGATTCTAAATGCACCGTAATAATTACAGAAATGCCACTGTATTATTTTTCCTTAAATTTCTAGGGCTTGATCATCTTAGATGAACTGATAAAGCATGCTAGTTTGGTTTGTCTAAGTCACACATAATTACTTTTTTCTCTATTATATTGAGCATATAATATATAAAACATAAATATCACTACCAAAAAAAAAAAAAAGAAGCAAAATACCAACAAGTTTAATTACAGATTAAATAGCTACAAATTAAATATCTATAAATTTCAATGTTTTAAAAACAAAAATCTACAGACTAATTATTAATTTAAACTTTTAATAAGATCGCACACAATATGAAAGCCAGACCCAGACCCTTGTCCCTTCTTGCAAAAGGTTATATGACCATTAAGTAAAGGTTATTGGTGAACCGATACTACAATGTAATAGAGTCATTAGTATTCACAAAATAAAAAAGTAGAGGTCATTGGCAGGTCTACCTAATCAATAGTATTGTCTTTTGTTTAAAATATATATATACTGAATGTGTTTATATAGTACTAATATGTTAGTATTAATTAATTAATGTAGCAAGCTAATTTGGTTTAAGATCTGTTATAATTTATTAGTGGTTGTGTGTGCATGCCGAATAGGGCAGTGTGGGAAGAGACAGATTGTTGGAAGGGGTGACACATGCATGCAGCAGGCAGCAGGCAGCAGGCAGCAGGCTACACTGAAATTTAAAACAAGGAAGACAAATGGCAGGAAGCGAGAAAAAGAAACACTAAACACAATCGATCGAAGAAATATAAGGAAAGTTAATAAATTAAGTGGGGAATCGAATAACGTTAATTAATTTCATAGAGAAAAGACAAAGAAAATATGTGTTGTGTGGTCTCCACCTTTTGTCTCCGACTGCAGAAAAATGTTTGGCAGAAGCTTTTCTTTAACTTGCCTGCACCTACAAGTTTGGATTCACCGATTGAATTTCATGTGTAGTGTGGGAAGGAGAAAGAAGAATAAAAGTGAAAAGTTTCATTTAAGGACTAAATACCTGAAACGTGGGAAGCATTGTTGGTGGAACTTGATTCCATGACATGGTATCAAATTTTTAAAAATAATCAAGTTATCTAAACATCTAATAACTTATATATATATATATATATATATATATATATATATATATATATATATATATATATAAAGGAAGTGGGGAGGAGTGAGGGGGGTAAAGGTCCCCATTGTCCCCTCTTTGGAGTCGTCTCTGATGATTGGTTGTTGCAAGTAACTAAACAAATAATAATTGAAATAAATAATAAGGATGTTATAGTTTAGTGGCACCAAATTACTTTTTCATATGTGAGATTTTGGGTTCGAGCTTCAGTAGAGGTAGTATTGACTCTTTACTGTATGTAAATCCAAGTCTTCAATCCTAGCTCCTTGCTTCCAAAATGTAAATGCACTTGAATCTAACTAGAATTGAAATTGGAAATTGAATTCTAGGGTTCTAAGGTTTAGAGAAAATTGACTAAGTATTGAAAGTAACTAACTAAAGTGAAAGAATTCAAAATTCCCCAATAAAATTTTGACGTCTCCTATTTATAGCTCTGGAATACGTTGCGTCATGAGGCATGTCACGCCGTGGCAAGCTTTGTGATGACTTTGATCACCTCGCAGAAGTGTGTGTGTCACGAATTGTCTCTCGCCGGTATGACCAACGTGACAGCAGAACACCTCTTGCGGAAGATTACTTCACAACCCCTCGTCACGTTGTGATAGCAAAAGGTGCCTTGCGGATGTTTCCCTCATGATCCCTTGTCACGTCGTGATGAGACTCGTGATAGCAGAGGATGACTTTCTGAAGTTGTTCCTCACAAGCCTTGTCACGCGTGTGACATCCTTGCATGACGATGTCGTTTTGCCTTCCATCTTATTTTTGCTCATTTTTCTCCAAATTGCCTTTAAATTTAATTTTCCCTTTTTACGTTCAAAACACAATAATGCTCTCAATTAGCTTCTCCCAAACACTTATTCCAATAAGGGTAACACTTGTGTGAGACCATCTCACGGGTCAGATCTTTGGTTAATGGGTCAAATATTTTATTAATGAGTCGGATCTTTGATCTCATTAATCAAATATCCGACGCATCTCACGGATTGAGACCCTTGAGACGGTCTCACACAAGTTTTACCTTCCAATAATTGATCACTTTAAGCAGGGGCGGAGCCAGAATTTTTGTTCAGTGGGGGCAGAACATTACAACAAAAAGATAGTTTGAAAAATAAAATAAAACACTTAAGAAGTTATCCATAAATATTGTTGGATATAGTGAAGCCATAAAATTGTAGAACAAGCAACTATTAATAAAAATAGCAACTATTAAAATTGTAGAACAAGCAACTATTAAGAAGTTATCCATAAATATTGTTGGATATAGACAAAAAATAAAACATATCAAAACATTATAAAAATATTTATAACAAAATATGAAATATAATTAATTTGTATGTGTGTAAAAATCTAAAGTAATTTTAAAAACTGACTCACTATTAATAATAGTGAAGCCATAAAATTGTAGAACAAACAACTATTAATAAAAATAGTAAAAGTCAAATAGCAACTATTAAAATTGTAGAACAAGCAACTATTAAGAAGTTATCCATAAATATTGTTGGATATAGACAAAAAATAAAACATATCAAAACATTATAAAAATATTTATAACAAAATATGAAATATAATTAATTTGTATGTGTGTAAAAATCTAAAGTAATTTTAAAAACTGACTCACTATTAATAATAGTGAAGCCATAAAATTGTAGAACAAGCAACTATTAATAAAAATAGTAAAAGTCAACGCTATTGCCATAGGAGGGATTTGAACCCAAGCACTCTCATTGTATAACACGCATTACTTGCCACCTGATCTACCTCAACTCTTGTTAACATTTTATGTTTTCTTCTATTTATACTATAACTTGTACTATATATACATATATAGATACAATGTTATATATGGGGTGGGGGTGGGGGCAGCTGCCCCCACTGCCCCCATTGTAACTCCGCCCATGACTTTAAGTGCAATTAAAGCAATATTAAACAAAAAATGACCAATTAATACACAATAAAAGTGAATTAGGAGTTTGGATAAAAATGAATTTAGATCAATAAATATTCATCTATAGGTAACGTACAATTAATTAAGCGTGTATCCATAGATGAGTTTATATCAAAATGAATTAGGAGTTTATGATCTTTTAATTTGTTTCATCTTTTTATAAATGCTGAATAGATGTATATTTCTTATATTGTACACTTTTTCTTGACCCGAGTAAAAAATGTGATACAATATGATTCACTCGGATAAACATGCCATACCTTTCATAGTAAATGATTTTTCAATTCACATATTATAAAACACTTTAAATAAGAGGATATATATTAAAAGTAGAAACAATAATGTATCGAATAGAATGATATGACTTGTGTCATGATAAGCTAGAAATAGCAAAGAACAAGTCACCATAGAAAACGAATTAATGAATTAAGAATTCTAAATGATGTCAAATATTTGACTATAAGCGAATGAAAGATGTGTTTTGGTATCATCCTCAATTTCTAACATACTGCATATATATTTTACTTAGCTTTTTCATCATTTCCAATTCTGCGTACTCTTCTAATAATC